TTATTGTCATCCTGAGCACGCTGCATCTTTTCAACATTGCTGTCAGTTCATATTTTTATCAGATATGGGTTACATCCTGCAGCAGATAGGAGCGCCATCCTGAAATCAGATAGCACTGCGGGCAGCAGTTGAGAGCAGAGCGTGAAGGCCTGCAGTGTGAACGTGGTCCTGGAGCGGGACGATGCAGCCTGAATACTGAGGAGGAGGCTGAGCGTTTTATTCAGCACCTTGGCTTCGTCCCACCCATCAGACTGATGGAAGCCCCTCTAATGGATTGCTCACGCTTTTCTTCTCTTGCCATTACCAGACACACTTTTGTTTTTAATTTATTTTTTAAGTTGGTATTTCGCTTAATTTGGATAGTGACAGTAGAAAGTCGCAGGAAAGGCAGCGAGAGAGAGAGAGAAAGCGGATGACATGGGGGCTGGATTCGAACCCAGGCTGCTGCGGTAATATCATAATTAAACCAAGGGTATTCTGTGTCAGCAAGCTTTTATTAACCTGTATAGGAGCCACACTAGCAGTGGGGCTCTGAGGATGGAAATAACAGTCCACCTCTTTAGTCCAGTATTGGGGGGATGTTAATAAAATTTCGCTACAAACATCATGTTGTCCACTTTTTCAACATGGCATAAACACACCATATGGTCCTGTATGGGACCAGATCTAGTTGAATAGCAGAACAATTTTATAATAATCGAACCAAGTGTATCCCCGGTCAGAATATGTTATTTGACTATTATAAAATACTTTAATTGCAACAACTAAACCCAAGATACTTGTTTTCTGATGAAGTTTATAGTTTGTTTACATCAGTAAACATATAGCAAAGAGCAGAGGTGGGACCAAGTCATTGATTTGCAAGTCACAAGTAAGTCTCAAGTCTTTGCTCTCTAGTCCTAAATTTTGAATTTGAGTCCTAAACAAGGCAGAATGCGTTCTTCATTAAATGTAACTCAATTTTAACAACAGAACTAGAATTATCTTTTTTCAATCTTTTTTTCTAACTGGCACTCACTAACGTAACATTCGTTTTTCAGGGTTCTCTCTCGCAGCTTCATTGGATGCTGTCGGATTGATTCAAACTAAGTGGATCTGTGGAATTAAGTGTCGACTGGCTGGGAATGAATGAAGTTAACGTTAGTTGGTTTAGGAAATGAACTGATTAGTGGGTGACTTTTTAAATAACATACTTTTTAGTCTTTGGGGGAAGGTATTACGTTGTTTCAAGTCAAAGGTCCTAGTGAAGTCACAAGACACTGGTGTTAAAGTCCAAGTCAAGTTGAGTCATAAGTCATCAAATTTGTGACAAGTCCAAGTCATGTCACTTGAGTCCACAAGAGTAACAAATGCCTACGTTTTCAGTCATGATCAACTGACAGTTAAGTAGCTTTTAAATGCCTTAAATCCTAGCCAGCATGTAACTATACTGACGTAAAAATGATGAGAGAAGTGTTTTAGATAAAAGTATGGCAAGACGTAATGTACGATAGTAAATATTAAATGTTTAACCTTTCAAAATATTTCCCTTAAAGTGAAATTAAGCTTTCGGGTTTAAGAAGTTGAACCCTCACCTACCACAGTCGGCATCTGTTGAGACAGATGGTTTAAGTCGAGCTCAGCAGGTTTGTTAATAGCTTCAAGGTAATCTGTATTTCACAACTTGGTTTGACTTATTGTGTCACACATTTTAATAAGGACCAACATACAATCTTTGTTGTGAAGTCTTTCTGTCTGTGAGACAGTTTTGTCTGTCTGTGAGACAGTTTTGTCTGTCTGTGAGACCATCAGAGAACCACCCAGAGAGGCAAAATGCTTCAACTGGTTTTTGCAATTTTGCCTCTTGGGGTGGATTTGTATTTTGTGTGTTTGGCTGAAGGAGGGGATTTCTGTGTGCAAGGTATTGTTCCCTTCAGTCCCGTGCGGTCAAGAGGATTCAGGGATTTTGAGATTTGCTTTGTAGAATTCATTTCTTGGGAACAAGTGTTTTAAAATGAGTGCAATTGCAGCAGCTTAACAAAATGAGCTCGGTAACCACACTCCCGTTTGCTCATGTTTTATTAAGCAGCAAAAAAAAAAAACCTGTGGGAGTTCTTCCAGCCTGCATCTGATTCTTGCTGCACTCTGTTGGAAACAATCCTTGCCGGATCCTGTTTGGCCGTCTAATAGGATTGTTGTTGGAGTCTGGGGGCTTTAGTGCAACCCCAAAAGCTGTCTGGCTGCTGTCTGCATTCAAAAAAACACGATCCAACCGTTTTGGTTTTATACTGATCTTGTTTGATCAACGGGCTATGTGACAAGCATCCCCCCTGCTCCTGACGTTTTTGAAGCCGAGTGATCTACAGCGAAGCAGCTCTGCTAGAGAGAAAAACGCAGCCAAAGTAAAAATAGACTGTGGGAAACAGATAAGGGCAGCGAGAGACGGAGCCGTCCCTTTTTTGCCAGTGGTTAAGTTGATGACCGAGCCACAGTGAAGCACAGATATGACACCCAGCTCTTGTCACATGGAGTAACCTCTACCCTCCCCTGGACTAAACACTGTGGAGAGGACTTGTTGTTGACTCCGCAGGGACCGACCTAGTTCCCTCTCACAGCTAAAGGTCACATGTCTTGTGGGTCGGGACTGATTGTGTGTGTAGACTTCACTTCAAACACAAACAATGAACTTGAGGATGTAACAGTAAGACATCAACACCTACGGTGACCAAAGGAGGGAGCAGAGAAAAGAACAATAATCCTCTTTTTTTTTTTTTCTTCTTCTTACATGTGTTGTTCTTAGTCAGTTCCAAACCAAACTCCTATTACCTGAAATAAAAACTTTTCCAGTTTTGACAAACGCTCGGGCTGTTGAAAATCGTCCCCTGAGCCTCACTGGTGGTGGATGTGGTCAGCAGAGGCGGCAGCTGGTGCTCCTATTAGGGAGTATTAGCTTAGCACCCTCAACCGCAGCCACAAACTTATCTGCCCCACTCATTTGCAATGGAAAAAGTAAAGCCGATTGGGGCCTGTCTGCCGGCCGAGGATGACGAGGCTGGAGGAGAGAAGCCTGGCAAGCTCTGTCGTCACCCACTGTGACGGCTTTACTGCTCTGTGTTTACATTAATATACAGTAACATCATGTGTGGACTGCAGACAGGCAGCAGGATATTTATAAAGCTTCTATATTCATCACAACTACATGATTGCTTTTATGTTGTCTATTATCTTATTTATCTTTTTATTTTCAGTGTATTTCTGTGTATAGCACTTTCATCAACGTTTGCTGAGGTTAATATTAACTTGACTATATTTATTCATTCTTCAGGTTTAGTTTGAAAAAGCAGGAAAAAATAAAGGGGTTCAGTCCACTATCTGGTATATGTATTTTCATAGAAAAAACGGCCATATTTTCAAAATGTAGATGATATTCATTACTAATAAATGTTTCATCACGTTGTCCCATTTAGAGCAGCAAACATTTTACAGTAGTCAACTTTTTCCAAATCGTGGAAGCCTTCTTATTTTGAATCAAACTTTTAATGAACGCTTGCAGCTTTTCCTGTCTGTCTTGGTTATTAGCATTACTTTTTTGCATCTGTTGGCAGTGTGCCCTCTTTGTTTCTCCAGCATTTACCTGTTGCCATTTATTTTGGCGGGTTTTCATGTTGACCGGTAACATGTTTGTAGTCTCACACCAGCATATTTGCCACTGTGGTTGGCATAGACACATCGGTTAAATGCATGGTGGCGCAGACAAATTTTCTACAAAGCTGTCTGTGGTATTGTTGTGCTATACTGTTCCTTGTGTTTCATTGCATTACGGAGAAACGTATACACGTTGCTACCGACAGTTTCACACTATTCACTTATAGATAGTTGGAGGTGAAACGTACAATGTAGCAACAAAAGGCAGAGAAAGAAGAAGAATGCAAGCTGGCAAATATGGATGTCAACAATGCAAAACATTTCTAAAGCTTTAAGGTGTATCTTAATTCCAGCCTCATGTGGAAGGAAATGCATTAAACATGTTTGTTAAGCCTCAAGGACACACATTACATGTTGGTAAGAAACACTGAATGTAAACATAACAGTACTGGTTTATAAGAAAACACCACAGGATGCCTTTTAACATAACTTATTCCTCCATGCAGTCGAGCTAACAGGGTTTTAGCATTTACTCATTTGGAGTTAACAGGGATGTTTTCAATCATGAACTCAGGGCTTAGTATTGTAATCAGCTGTGTGTGTGTGTGTGTGTGTGTGTGTGTGTGTGTGTGTGTGTGTGTGTGTGTGTGTGTGCGCACAGTTTACACAATATCACACTAAACTGTATCTTGGCTGTGCTTTTTTATTGGCATTTCATTGAGATAGCTCAGATGCTCATTTATTGTTCAGGCATTAAAGTGTCTTCTATCAGCTGTTAGATGCCGCTGTAAAAACTGCTTTGTTGTTCTACAAATACGCTGAATGTCTGTAACACTGCATGTCAACAACGAAGCTTGACATCTTGAATTTGCAGGAAAACCTAGATTTTTATCTAGATTTTATGTAATCTCATTGATTTGGGCAAGTCACTGTATTTAAATCAACCTTCCGCCTGTATTTTGACCTGTATCTTAATTACTAAAATCCATTTACATTGATTTCTGGCAAGTATTTTGCAGATAGTTAAGTACATTTTTAAAGTTTTTCTGCTCTGATGTAACAGTAAGCAACAAGGAAATGAGAGGAATCCAAGTTCAGTTCTCAAGAAACAAGAATCTCTCGTCATTAAAGTTGACGTGGTGATGATAGACTTGCTCCCTGATGTTTACGTGCTCAGACTTCAGCGCCTCTCTGAGCCTCATTTTTATTTCTTACCTCCAGCCAAGCTTGTGTGTGGGAACCTTGACAAGGTGGAAGAACAAGTATGCACAGCAGTAACTGGGAGAAAAGCACCCCAGGGCATCAGTTGCTGACATTCTTGTACTCAGCAGTGTGGTGTATTGTCTGCTTACATGGTTTTCTCTCTCTCATTTCAGTCATTTCAAGGCAGTCAAGGAAGAGCCTATCTGTTTAATTCAGTGTAAGTATGAGTCCCACACCTACAACTCACCTCATTTACTGTGACCAGAGTGGAACATTTTGCTTTTGTTACTCTTTTTGTGCATTTAGTTTATTCAGGTTCACACAGTGTAATTTACAAGTGATCTGGGGCTTGTAAATAATAGTTACCTGGACTGGCCAGAGTTATAAACCATGTTCACACTGAGTGCATTTGTTTGAGTTCAATTGCCCCCCTTTCACCTAAGCCTACTGCTTTGCTGTCACACTTGTTTAGTCTTGTTTTTTGTCCTTTTACTAACACAGTGCAGCTGTTCTCCATTGCTGCAAGGATGACTGCACATATATGTTTTAACATACATGCGCAAAATGTAGAACATTATACAGGCACCGCTCTGATGAAGGCCATCGGGGCCGACGTTGGCATGTTTATCTGACATGGCCAAAATAAATTGGTGAAATAGAGATTAGTCAACTTTGTCCTGGAAATGCCTTTGGGTTTTCTTCCTGGGTTCAACATTGGATATTTTACGCTACATTAGCTTAACTCGCCAGACGCTTTATAATTCCCCCACACCATATAAGGCAGTAGTAGTAGCAGCAGTTTGAGGTTCAGTGTCTTACTCAAGTACACTTTATCATGTGTGAGCCACCTATCCTTCAATTAATACTATACCCTCTCCACCACCTGAGCGATAGCCACCCCATAATTGTTTCTAGTTGGTGGGAAGCCAGTGAGGGATCAGGTCCTCATAGCTGCACTGGTGACTACTACTGGTCAGTCATCGCATTAGAGGGGATAGCGTTACACCACCTCCCAGTTTATTAATAGCTAGCAGTGATAAGTAACACAGTATATTGAGAAATTGGAAACAAACTTCAATAAAAAGTGAATAAAACTCCCCTGTTCTAATACCTTCCTCAAAAAGAAATATTGCTTGCCCTCGAGGTGGGCTTTTTACCAGTGCACTACTGCCACTAACATTATTACCATAACGTCACATAACATTCAAAATCAATGCCAAACCACCTCCCTATACAGTGTGTGTGTATATATATATATATATATATATATATATATATATATGGGTGCAGAAAATAATACCAAAATATTAGGTAAAACTAAACATTTTTAGTCCTCACTACAAGTTGAAATATAGCCATTGAAATGCTGTTGAAACAATGGTTATATGTAACCTAGACATGTACCAAATTTGAGCTGATGTGCTCTTTGTTGAGTGTTTCAGTCCATGCTACAGTAACTGCTGCTTAACATCCATCTTTTTAAAACCACAAATCACTTTTAGTGGTTTAATTTTCGGTTGGTTGGTTTTTGGGACTCAGCTCTCAGTCTCAATGAACCCCCCACACACACACACACACACACACACACACACACAAACACACACACACACACACACACACACACACACACACACATTTTCAGGTGTCATGGTGCAACTGCTTTGTGCTACCGAGTCTGGATTACATTGTTCTTTCGCCATAATGAATTGAATGAAAGAAGCACTCTACGGGCTCTAGAGTCCAAATAATTCTAAACATGTCCAATGTGAAAGCACTAGAAGGGATGTGGTGGTTTTCAGGTAGAAAGACATTTAGCCTAAAAATAGATTCCTTCGTTGGAAAATATTAGTGTTGCAGAAGTCTACATGTAGATTGGTTACATATATTGTTTGTCTCAATAGTACTAAAACAAGTATTATTATGGCATGTTCTTTAAAATGCTACTCAAAAGCTTATCAGCAGCACATATGCAAATAAAGACAAGTGCAAATATTTCCAAAAATTCCTGAACAAATAAGTATTTATTTTAGTAGTTTTCCCTAAACAAATAAGTATGTATTTATGTTCTGTACTTAAGCATTGGCAGTAGGTCGCAGTTAGTGGTTATTTTGGAGTTTCAAGGAATCCCTTTTAACTGTTTCAAGTGCGAGAAAATAACCAACATTAAACCTAATATTTCATATATGGAGATATATTTGAGATAGAATTTGAAATATCCCATTTGTATCTCCAGTTGGGAATTCTATTTATTTTTTAGTAATTTGTAATAATTATTACGTCAACATGTAGTACTAAACTTTGACTGGGCCTTTTATTCACAATGAATACTTTAAATAAAAGATCTGAGCTCTTCCTCCGCAGCTCTCCCCGACCTCTGTGACCTTTTCTCCCCTTCCTGTCTTTCCTGCAGGGTGAATGTCGGCTGCGGGCCAGCGGAGGAGCGGGTACTCCTCACAGGTTTACATGCTGTGGCTGATATCTACTGTGAAAACTGTAAAACCACCCTGGGTTGGAAATATGTAAGTCAGTCGCTTAAACTTTAACCTAAGCCCTTTTACTTTCCGTCTAAATGTTTCTTGATGCACCACTTACACCTGCCGCTGTGTTGTTGTGCAACTATGTGGTTTCTTGGCTTCCAAGGGGACAAATTATGCTATTACAGGTCAAAAGAACAAGGTTGCTCTCATTAAAGCATTGCTTGTTAAAGCCATGGTGACAGGTTTTTTTTGCTCACGGTTGTATTTAGGCTCAGAGATTGAGCACTCTGGTCTCCTAGCGCTCAAGATAATTACAGTGCCGAAAGGTTGGCTGCAGACAGCCAGACTGGTACCTCTGAGAGTCTACAGTGATTAAATGTCAGGCCATTTTGAAGAGGCTTGTCCTGGTAATTGTCTGAAAAGACTATAGAAGGGTGTAAAATAACTGAACAAAGTATAAGACAGGGACTCACTTAAAGCTGCTCCTTCAGTGACAAAAACAATTATAGATTCTCAGAAAGGCCCGCAAGCAAAGCAAAGCAGAGCAGACCTGGTTTACAAGGCAAAGCAGGCTGAGCAAATAATCAAAGACAGAGACCCACATCAACATCCTGATTCTCCTGAAGCGCAGCAGGACTGGGACACTGGGCCGGAAGTCATACAGCACTTCAAGAGATGTATTTCCAGACAGGAAGTCAAAGCATTTGAAAAAGGTGATTTGGTCACTGGAGGAATTCTCAGTGTTCTTAATTAGCACTGTGTTTTTCTCTGGTTCTCTAAAATCCTGCTTTTCTCAGATAATAATGAGGCCAGATGAATAAATGTGTGCATATTTGTCGTGCTGTTGTTTTGTATTTCGTTTTTTGACTCGAACACTTCTGAGTTTTTGCATATTGTATTATACGATGTATGCCTCCCCCGCAGCTCTCTAAATGCATTCTTAAGTTCCTTGATTTACTTAAAAGCAACTAAAAGACCTTTCAAATGCTACGGTAACATCAGACATTAGAGTTTCTCCATGTGGGGAAAATACACACAAGTAAAATCAGTGAAATTATGAAATACCATGGTTAGACTGAAGAGTTGATTTACTCCTGTAGCTTTATGAAAACCTTTAAAAAATATTTAAACTTTTCTCTTTCTTGACCTTGAACACAAAATAGTCTTGCTGTCAATCTAATAAATGCAAATCCATTCAAACACACTGCTTACTAGATGACCTTTTGTTAATATCTAGCAGCAAGACGGGGTGAAAGATAAGGAATATAAAACCTTTTTTTTTTTTCATCTTTCTTGGTATCATTGAAAACTTTACCACTGGAATTTATAATAAAGGCAATGACTGATCCAGTGGTGCGTTACTGGTACTATCTATCTATGAATGAGTACTCATGTCTTTACCACATTTTTTTTATTCTATGTGTTTATCGTGGGCAAAAGTTGGTCTTCTAACTAAAGTTTTTCTCTTCTCTGTGTTTTTTTTTCACAGGAGCACGCGTTTGAGAGCAGTCAAAAGTACAAAGAGGGAAAGTTCATCATTGAGCTGGCTCACATGATCAAGGACAACGGATGGGAGTGACGCTCCAGCCGTACTATATCTTTTTCTGACCTTGGAATGCTCTTTAATGAACTGCGTGGAGTGTCGACCATCGACCGCCCTGCCCCTCCCCAACCGCCCGCCCCCCACCCCATCACCCTTAAAAAAAAACCTCCACGACCTCCACCCCTCGCCTCCTTCACGTGCACACACCCACCGGCTCATCGTGAAACTGAACAGAACAAATGACAAAAAAGAAAAATGACGACGAGGAAGTGGAGCAACTGTTGAAAAATCACGTCACAGGAGTCCTGTCGTTACTTTAAAGATTGTGTGTTCTCCCTCGCAGCTCCGGAGCTTTTGGGTTTGACCCTTATCCACTCACCCTCACCCTCCCTCCCCCGCCCACACCGAACCACGCTTACAAGTGATTGTGGTGATATGGCGACCACTATGCGAATGGAGATAGACTTCACTGAAAGGACATTTCTTTGTTTTCTTTATTTCGCCCATCCAGCGAGACGAATGACTTTGATGACTTTCGTTATTTTAATGTTATTTGCTATAGTTTTAACTCCTGGGTTTGGTAAGGTTTTGGTTTGATGGCAGATGGATGTTACTGGTTAGCATTTTATTTCCCTGTCAAGTGTGTCATGTTTTGTTTTGTTTGTCTTTTGGCTTGTTGTATCTTTGCCCATAGCTGAGAGCATGTTTTTCTTTGCTGATGTCCAAATGAGCAATCAGGGACGGGTGAGGAGCGGAGGGGAAAGGGAGTTTATTGTAGTTCTAAATATGTAGCAGCATCATTTTTTTTTTTTTTTTAAGAAAGTGTAAAAGGATGGGATTGCAGTAGTGTGGTATTGATTTCCGTTTTTATATTTTTTTCTTTCTTGTTTTTTTCCCCTTATTTCCCCCCCTTCTGGTACTTTTCAGCACCCAAAAAGCATTGAAAGCAGCACCTAGTATTTGTTTGACATATATATATATATATATATATATTATTATATATATATGAGCACACATATAAATATATAAATATTTGTAGTGTTTGGCTAAATGCGATTGTGGCTGGTCCCATTTTGCAGCAGTACCATGAGTGAAAAAGACATGAAAAGGAGCAGAAATAGTTTCTAGACTGGGGAACCTGAAGTCAGTGTCCACATGTCATAAAACATTAGGGCAGACTGTATTATTCCATTGTCTAGTAATGAAACAATAAGAGACACAACTACATATGAATATAAATACACATACTATGATTACATATCCATAAATACTATGAAAATGTTCTTAGTACGTAGATATTGGAACATGGATTCTATATATATATATTTGCTGTCATGCACATATGTATATATGCATATGACTGTGTGTATATATGCATTGTGTGTGTGTGTGCTCACGCATTACACAGTGGCATACTTGAACAATGCTACTTCGTTTGCACTTTGCAGAGGCCTTTGGTTCATCTCAGTTTAGAGGCAAAAAGTTTGTTCGCTCTTGTCTGTTTTTTAATGGCCTTCTCACAGATGAACGACAGATTGTTGGAAAGAAGGTTTGAGCTGGACGGTTTGAGGGTTTCGTCTTCTCCGTTAAGACTGTAGTGGGTTTAGCAGATGTCTGTTAGATACTTCTAGACAATTTGGTTAGATTTTATTTAATTTATATCGACAAATCCTGCTTTTCCTCTCAGTTCTTGCTTTATTTGGAACCCCCCTTTTGGAGAGAAAAGTGTAGTTTCAGATTCTTTGCTGCTATCCGAGAAATCCCGCCATTTCTTCCCGCTCTTGTAGGTCTTTTGCACTTTATGCTTATCCGTCTTTCTCTTAGAGTATATGAATTGTCTCTTTGTGGACGGTGTCTGTGATTTGCCTCTAAGCCGTATGAATCTTGTGCCTCTTCAAAACATGAACGGCCTCCCCTCCTTTTTTCTGTTGTGCAGTGCATAACTCCGAAAACCGTCATGTGAACCAATGTGTCTTCCCCTCTTCTGGTTCAAAGTGGCCCTCAAAATAACGTTCTTTACCAAAATCCTCAAAGAGCTCTTCCCTGTTTTTTTTTTTTTGAACAACAGAGACTTGGTATACATACACACATATATTTTCTATGTTAAAGATTTAGAGGTGCAAAAAGAATGGATATTCAGTATATTATTTCTTTATTTCAGTAAAGCAGAGAGGACGATGTTTGGACAATGCGGGATGCCCAGGGCTTGTTGTTTGACTTTTTATTGGAAGAATAAAAACGATATCAGCAGGTCAAGGTGGGGCAGGGTGGGATGGGAGAGATTTAATAATCAGCAGTGATTGATTACTTTGCCGGCAAGGTCAGTCAGATCACACGACCTTTTATCCTAAAAACGATGACAATGCAAACCCTTAATAGTTAGCAGTGATACCTACTTGAAAATATAAAGACACAAACAGCTGAGATATTGGCCCGTGTTACAGTTTTTGTACATAAAGTAACATATTTAAGGTTTTATACGTATTTCTACTGGGTTAGTTGTTTTACTTCCCCAACTTGAAGCACTTTTGTTCACTGTACCTCTGGCTGTGTGTGCGTGTGTGCGTGTGTACACATGCATGTGTATTAGCCCACATGCATGCCTGCACACGAAAGTGAATGTTTAGTTTCTTTTCCTCAGACAGTTTTATTTCTCTTTTTTTCCTCTTTTTGGTTTGGAAGTGTTTTTATTTGTCCTGTTTTTTTCTTTTGCAGCTCTTTGGTTTCACTGTCTCTCCCAATGATCTGTGAGGTTGAGAGCCAGGTTAGTTTGATTGGAAGTGATTTACCCCAATTGTTTGTTTGTTTGTTTGTTTTGTTTTTTCTGTTAGCTTGTTTATTTAGCTTATGTGGTGAGAACCCTTTAGAGGGCTGGTGTTTAGGTCTCTGCTGAGCCATGTAGACGTTGAGGGTGAGCTGGAATCTCCCACCATGTCGCAGGGAGAGCCTTTACCAAGACCCTTTCGCTACCACAGTCAGTGTCTCCTGTATAGAGGGCTTTCAGGCGATGTACCGCTATGCCAACCCTATGGCAGCCATATTGGAGGTCCTTAGCTGGGCTGTGAAAATCTGATTGTATTTCTTATTCATTTTTGTGCTGGCTTTGACCTAAAATTAACTGTTACTTCCCTGATCTATTTGATTCATTGTTTTAATAATATTAGCTTGTTAGCATTCACCTAACAGGTAAAACCAGGCTTGTTCTAATTGAAAGACTCCTTCAAATGCAGCCCTCTTTTGCTTGAATTTGCCGCACTCGGGGGGCCCAGAATCCACTGCACACTCTTTGTTTAAAGAGCATCTCAGCAGCAGCTAATAGTCTTGTTTTTGCTGACTCCTGGTGGTTCAACTTCTCACCTGGCTACAGTGATGTAGAAGTGTACTCCAGGGTGTGTCAGTACACCATGACATCACAGCCAAGGTGCAACTGACTTGAAACCAGAGATGGCATTGAAACAAGATTTATCAGCCTGGCGTTATGTTAATGGTGCATTCAAGTGGTCTTTGTCGATTCGTAAAGTCGGAAATGTGACCTCATCGATATTTGTGTTCCTGTGGTCATCAGTGCTGGTAAATTACTGGTAAGCTACATTTCATGAACTCTGGTATCACAAACTTGCCTGAGTTTACTACTTGGTATTCACCACTTTGTCAGCCATTTCCTGGAGATAAACTTGAAAACTACTGAGACTGAAAGTTTGTCATATCATATGATCTTCCCAGTAATGGAACTGTAGATGTTTAAATTTCCTTTTTCTATAAGCACTTACAACAGGAATGGAAATGTAAACATCTATAACTCTATGACAAATGGGTAACTGTCTACTGAGGAAGATCGTGTGATACAACTGAAAGCTCCAGAACAGCTACCAAATGGACCTTGTGGTGTGATTATTTTGTTTATTTCCAATTGACTTTAGGAGTAGTCAAGGAGCACCTGAATGCACCATTGGTTTTATGTCCATGAGGCCACACTGTCTCGTTTGGAGAGCACACACAGGCTTTTAGTTCCTGCCAAGGACACACTTTCAAGGGCTGCTTCCTTTGAAGGTTGCACCTCCTGAATTGGGCTTTTATCTGGTCAGCCAGCCTTCACTATCTGATATGATGAACATATCTGGCTGAAAATCTCAAAACCCAGCCGTCTGTTAAATTTAACTAGGTGAACTTTTTTGAAACTCAAAGAGCAAAGAGAAAGGCACTGGTAGGTAAATAAAAAAAAAACTCATCAGAGCGTCCATACCTGCTGAAATTGTTACTGAATGGGCCCACAGTAGTCCAACTTTCCTCTTAACTGTTACATGCCCACAGCCAGTTTCTCCAAAGGACCTTCAAGATGGCACCAGCTTGGAGATTTGTGACCCAACTGCAGAGCCTCTATAATCTATCTTTGATCAGCCCAAGTTGAACCAACAAAAAGCAGTTGCCAGTGTCACCGCCGATGTGTACCAAATAAGAACCAGGTTCTATCGAATGCATCAGTGTCATGTGTCAGTGGGCAGGAAGGCGCCAGGAGGGATCACGTTCGAGTGTCTCCTGGAGATTCAACTGCTATACCAAAATTAAATAGGAGAAATCCTGTCACTTATGACATGGTCTTTCTGTAGAATGTTTTGATTCTCTGAACTTAACAGCGTCAAAGCAGCCTGGATGGAAAATGTAGATATTTGCTGCTGCAATCTGTTTACTTTTATTGTTATTTTGTTTTATTGTGACACTGGCTACCGCCTTTTCGAGCTCTGTTACTGTCTAAAACATACCTGAAAGGATGTTGATCAAAGGCAAGATGGGTATACAGGGGGAAAAGACTGTACAAGTTCTTTTTCTTAGGACTGTTAAACTACAGTTTAAGGTCTAAAGCATGTTGTATTTATAATGGCTGTATGTCGTGCCTGTTTTATTATTTTTTCCTAAATTTAAAAACAAAAATATATGCTTTTTATTTGACTACATTGCTTTGCATTAGTAAAGCCATGTCACATGTCTGTTTTCACTCTAATGTAAACTATCAGATATCACAATAAATTTTCAATGGCATTAAGTTGTGGATTGTGTGAAGTTGTCATTCGTTTTTAGGTTACGACTAATACTTGGAATGTTTTCATTGAGGGACTTTTTTTAAGGCACTGGAAAGTGACATACTTATTTGAACTATATCATGTTCAAAGGAATCAGATTTTGAAATACATAGGCTACGTGATGTTTCACAATCAGTTTCATCTGCCTGTGGTGCAGATAGAAATAGAAGTATAGACAACAAGTCTGAAGATACAAGAAGATACCCACATTTTGATTCCAATTTTTGACTTTTTACACATGGCGATAATTTGCTTGAGAAAATGTTATCAGTATCATGAGATACCTAGTAAATCAAAAATATTTGATGCCAATTCCCAAGCAGGAAAATGTATATAAACTATGTAGTTTTGCACAGTTTCTAAAGAATTTTTAATTATATCTTTAGGTCATTCTGAAGATTATGCAACCATTCTGCTAATAGGTTTTTTCATTTGTTTTCTATTTCCAATTTTCTCATAAGTGTTAAGTGCATAGCAGGTCAGTATGTGTTTAAATAGCTATTGCAGAGTTACATTTTTATCTGGTTTAGTAAAGTAAACGTATACACGGTGTATATACAGAGGTATTTAGTTTTGTTTTCCAAAGGTCATATGTTGCTGTGGTTTACAAACAAAATGCACACTGCTTATATATTTTTACATTATGAGAACCATCATGTGGAAAGTCACAAGAACATTAAACATAATGAAAATAAAACCAGAACATCAGCATGTTGCAGAAATACAGGGATGAAAAAGGAAATTGTCTATGGAGGTTGTGATATGTGTGAAAGGGTGACGAAATTAAATTTGACAGTTTACCACAGAGGCTGTACTTGTGATTAAATATTACAGGCCTGGCAGAAAATATGTCAGCAAATGCCCTTTAAATGTAAAACAATTACTGAAGCATGAAATTCACTGGTTGGTACTGATGTGTGAGTCTCAGACAGAAAGTGGACAGAGTGTCAGGCTGGCACACTGTCAGGTAATTAGTTCAAAACTGAGAGACCTGCAGTTTTTCTTCTTCTTCTTTTTTCTTCTTTTTTTTTTACTGACCTAGAAGTAAACTCTAGCGTGGTTCATCAGCTGCAGCCAGACATCTTCTTGACACGATTTGACAGTTGTTTTGGATTAATTCTAAAACTAATGGTTTGATACCTACATTTTCAAATATTTTAAATCTTGGTGCTAATACAACACCTGAGGTTTGTGCCAATGCCAATACAACATTTTTTCATCAGTTTTAATTAAAATATAGTCTGATGTTAGATTTTATGTTAGGTTTTATTACCTTTATAGGAGCAGCTGAAGAATGACAGAAAAGTAGGGAGAGAGGGGATGACATGCAGCAAATGGCCATGGGTTGGAATCGAACCCAGGCCACTGCAGTAAGGACTTAGCCTTTGTACATGGGGCACCCGCTCTACCAGATGAGCTACCAGGGCACCCCAAGATCAGGAAATATCTGATGAAAAGATTAGTAAATAAACTTTCATTGCCAACTTTTAAAACTGACTGTTAAAAGACACACTTTTATTGATATACGAAACAACTGGATTTCTGTAATGACAGAAATGTGTCATTTGTAGTCAAATGTTAGGAAATGTGCAGTGATTACACATGCATTGGTTCCTCAGCTTTGTTGATATATGTGCTGTAGCTCGGGAGTTATTTGCTGATGACACTCTACTTTTTCTCTCACTTTGCCACACTGATAAAATTGACTTGACTTTCCAAAACATATCTAACAAACATCCTTGTTTTTGGTCATGATCAAATTAAGTCTACATTCTCAGTCCTAGACAAGTGAGTGCCCTTAAATATCACTTTAGATATATATATACATATTCACATATAACTTTGACAAAGCTGTGAAAGTACAAAAAGGGAACTATTAGTGTGTTTTCTGCATTCTAATAACTCTTAAAAACAAATTTGTAATAGTGTACTAACTTTTTTGCCATTATGCAATGTGCAAAGTAAATGCTTTTTCTACTGTTTGAAATTCATACTCTATAATTGTTGGTCGCAAAACAAAGTTTGATGGACTTCCTTATTGACAAGATAACGTTTTTTTGATGGTTGTGTTGTGTTTATGTTCTCAGGTATCTTTATTTCTTGATAAGTCGCTAACCACTGTTTGTTCATGCTAAATGGTGGAAGTAAGGAACTGGTATTAAATGTCAAAACAGATCAACAACCAAACTTTGAACATGCCATTTAAATCCAATCCCAAGAATTTAAATGATTGAATTTGGTTTGATCAGATATATATATACAGAGAGGCCTTGACCCTGTGTTTTTTTCTTTCATCACATTTTTGTATTCATCTTCCTGGTTAATGATTGCATGTTTAAATAGATTAGAATGGCACACAGCCCTAAAGTCAAACAGAGAACTTCCTCTTTCATAACGTGATCTTAAAAGCCTTTGTACTTCCCTCAGTGTCCCTAACATGGTCAGTCATGATGTACTGATCTGCAGTGTCAAAGGTAGTGCTGTGTAAGAATTGTGTAACTATCAAAGAGTTTGTAAACCATGTTTTTAACTGTACGGCTTTGAAAATTGGAACAAGTAAAGAGACTATCATGTGACGTGTAATAAAGATAGAATAGTGCATATTTATATATATACATAAAGAAACACATTTGATGGCATTATAGTGTTTACAATACATATAAACCAGGACTGGAACATGAAACTAAACATAACACTGAACAAATATCTTTCTCCTACCTCATAAAAATGTTCTGCTTTATATTTTTATCTCATTTGAAGAGTGTGAAGGCCCTTCTCAGTCAGTCTCACTCTGTTTAACCTGCAGTGGCTGTAAGTTAAAAGGAAGGGTGAATATTAATGTCTGTATTATGAGAAGAACGTTTCCCTGTTTATGTGACTTTTGTGTGAAGTAAGTTAGCAAGTGCACACATTATGGAATAAACTGAAAACAGAAATTGCAATGCAAATAAAATTCTCCTTTCTTGCCTGCTTTGAAAGGTGACCAGCTTCACACCTGCCACTCCACCAGCCTGAGGTCATTGGAAGAAACAGAAACGTACACTTGTCGCATCAGCAGATCATCAGACTATCACATTGAAACTGATCTGTGAGCATCTGGCAAAAGGCTGTCGCACATAGAAACAGTATCACTACTTTGATCAAAGGAGGCTATAGCTCAGTGTAATTTCCTATATACTGTATATATATATACCATATAGTTTTGGTCTTTTTTTCATCTATTATTTTCAGTCTCTTCTGGAATCTTTACATTCTCAGTGTATGTGCACTGGTGGCTCCAAGTTTCTACATCACACTTGTAGAAGTTGCATACTGGACCAGGATGTCACAAATCATGCTTGTAGGCCCCACCCCTTATAATCTGATTTTCACTGAGCACAGAGAACCTTCCCACTTTCAGCAGATGAATGTGAAAACATCCTTTGACTGTCAAACATGGTACATACATCATTCTGCACAGTGAAGCTCAAACATCACACTGTAGGAACAGGAAAAACAGACTTTTGAGTGGAGGACTTTAATATCAGCATGCTAATGTGCTCGCAATGACAATGTTAAAATGTTGATGCCAAGCCGGTGTAATGTCTACTATGTTCACCATCTTCAACTAGCATGTGAGCATGCTAACATTAGCTAATTACCACTAAACACAAACTATAGCTGAGGCTAATGGGAATGTTATCAGTTTTCCACAAATGTCAACCTCATATTGGCGCTATATGAAAGGTCAGGAATCATCAGAGTGTGATTAATCCTGTGGGGACCATGAATGTACAACATTCTGGGACAATGAAACTAAAAGGTATCTGCATTGCTAGGGTAAGTGACACAATATGTAGTGGTGATTTGGGTGCACTGACCCTTTAAAAGGGGTCGTTGTGACTGATTTATGTTCTCATGGCTACAAACATGTTTACAGCTCTGAACCTAAATATGATGTACAGTATCATGCAACATCTATAACTTTAAATTTGTTTTAAGCTGTGTATGATCATCAGTAAACTCATAATGAAGCAATTGTGCTGCAAGCCCTGCTGCAGCACTGCTAATTAGACATGAATCATTTGATAAAGTACAGGCTGTACGTTTGTTGTATTGACTGGAGTTGCTATGGCATGTTTTGTTGCCAGCATAGTGATTCCTAACCATCTCCTTACTTGTGATTCTGATGCCCACACAGCCTCATGTTTTGATGTCCTTGAGGTGACTGGCTTGTCTTTAAGCACAAAGTAGTCTGTCAGCCTCTTATTTATCTCACACTCCCTGACTTGTTCTTAAAGCTGCAACATGCAATTTAATTTAATATAGTAACAACATATTTTATTTCTCATCAGTCTATGACTGCAAGAGTACATACCTGATCATATCATAATAATGGTACAAGTGGCGGTAAGAAAGAAGCAACAGTAAAGTTTAACATGCACCCAGCAAGATCAGCTCAATAACACAGTATAACAAACTGGCAGTGTTCAACACCTGTGCTCCCATTACAGGCATTAGTTACTTAAGCTTTATGTTAAAATTATGCTGTTTCAAAGCAGAAATCTCATTACGGCTAAGACCTCTTGCTGATGAATACATAATTATTGCTAATAGCAAGTACCAGTGACTGGTAACCACATTTACAACACTTTAACATACCTGAGTAGGCACTGCCCACCATGTTTGCACATCAGTCCAGCCAGTGTTTCTGCCATGGATGTATAAAACCACTACAGCTTGTGCTATGCGCAAATTAGCTGCTAGGTGCTAAACAAAGTTACAACATCACCAAGCAAATTAATTCCTGCAGTTTGACAGTTTCCTTTTCCACACATGGCTATATCAGTAATAAACTGCAACTTTATAAAGAACTGAAAATTATCCTCAAACATTTTGCAGCAGCTGGTGTTCTTGGAATAAAAAAAAACCCAAATCCATTATAGGCTCAGAACAACAGCTTAGAGAAAGGAAAGTTATAGCG